AACAAACCAAAAGTTTTTAGAACTTCTATCTTCCGAAAAATGTGAGCAGTCAACTTATTCTAGACAAAAAAAAGCAATGGATGCAGAAATATTCTGGTATGATGTCTGCCATGAATGGAGGCACACAAAAACCATCTTGTGGAAGTTGAGTGGTACAGCTGAAAATGGACGAAAATAAAATGAGAATCGTTCTGAATAAGAGTTTTTCAGACCTATATGTGAAAGGATTCATAAGCCGAAGTACATGGGGGTAATGGGGGTTGAAATTTGAGTACACGTGAAGTAATTGTGGAGGCCTGGAGGGGTAATAGACGTTGGCGGTAAGAGAACACCTAAGACTGAGCATGTTCACTGTTTTGATTCAATTATCAATAGGGAGCAGAATGTTGAAGCTAAAATTTTAAATGATCGTAATCTATAGGTAAACTTTAAGAAGGGCAGAGTATAATGATTCAGAAAATAATTCGAAATTATTTATTACAATATAATACACAAACATGTATTTGAATAAACTTATCAACTTCCATTGCTCTAAAAGAATATTAAGAGACAAAGTAAATACTCACAGATTTTTACACCATTGCAGCAAGGATTCATAGTATCTGCACCTTCTCTGGCAACTCCATGGCTAACCCAAGCACTAAAACTCTACCTTGTGAACCAGTTTCCACATTTGAACATCTTCAATTTTTGCTCTTAATGTGGTTGGGTGAATTGCTTTTGGAACAGGATCCTATAAGCACAAATAATAAGAGAAATTGTTAAAAAGAAGGAATTGATAAAAAAAATATGTAATGACCAAAATGGTGCCTGCAAATGAAAAACATCTAACCGAATTATGGAGAGAATTCCAAGTTTTATCTCTTCAACTGTTAATGTTCTGCACTTTTGCCCAGGTTTTCATCTGCTGAAACGAAAACATAGCATTGGTCATTATATTTCAAGACAAATAGAACTGTACAGAGATTCTTAAGCATAACAATCTAACAGAAATCTAGGAAACTATTTACAATTATCAACAACTTTCAATATAGGCACCTTGGTCGCTGTGATTGGAAGAACACCAGAAACATGCCCTTTGCCTAGAGCATATGAATCCAGACAACAATTTTTTCTCTGTTGCTAATAATTTTTTAGGAAATTATCTCACTATGAACTCAATTAAAAAATAAGTAGAACTAAATCTATCACAATACAAACTTCAATGACAATTGCAATCACACTTTCGATCAATGCATATTACCTAAAATTCTGCAAGGTTAGGAGCATAGTTATTTCGTTAAAGAGGTCTTCATTAAAACTCGAAAACACTTTCAAATCCTTTGTAAGTATCTCCACAGTGTTTGCATTATCGCTCCTACAATTGACAGTAATGAATTTAATAGAGACACAAAATTACAAAACAATACAACCATGGAGTACTATATATCATCATCATTATTTTCTTAAATTACAGAAATGAATGAAATTTAGAGCTTTACTTGTCAAGAGCTTCAAGATACTTCTGTTTCCGGAACTCAAAGAAAATTTTCATGGAGTAACGGTTATCATCAACCTTTGTAAACCCTCATAAATACTTTTCCACGTCGTCCCATCTGTAAAACCAAAAAATTTAGGAATTAGGTTATTATACTAAGAAGACAAATTATATGTATCATAAAACT